CTATCTCCTCTATTCTAACTTCTATCTCCTCTATTCTAACTTCTATCTCTTCTATTCTAACTTCTATCTCTTCTATTCTAACTTCTATCTCCTATATTCTAACTTCTATCTCTTCTATTTTAACTTATATCTCTTCTATTCTAACTTCTATCTCCTCTATCCTAACTACTATATCTGCTTGAATGTAAATCACCCTTTTTGTTGTAGATTTCCCTGGATATTATCTAGGAAGGTTGGATACCGATAAATCGTTTATACAGAATAAGATAAAAACCTATATTCAGAAGATAAATTTTTTTATAAAGTGTTTATTCTGAAAATATTATTGAAAGTTTCTGCAGTAAGATAAATTTTATAGAGAAATCAGAAAGAAATTAGATAGAAAACAGCATGGATATCTCATTTATTCTTTATCATTCTAAAGTTCTCAAGGTTTTGTTTGAGATTTGGACAATTTTAAATGGAGAGTCGCTTGAAATTACGTCTACTATCCCTTGAACCAATAAATTTAAGTGGGAAATACGTTTTAAATTGTTATGCCTTTAAATTTAAAACTTCAGATTGCATTTAGTATGTTAAACATTTGTTTTATAAATATTAGATTTTCTTGAAATTTATATATGTTTCTCTTGGCATACAGTCTTTATCTGATCTTGATGTTTGTTTATTATATAACAAAACTAATAAACACAGACACTATTCGATATTATTAATACTGCAGGGATAAACATTTTGGTTTGTTTAATAATTCAAAGTTTTTTTCTTCAAGAATCTGAGACGTTTAAAAAAAATTTAGCTTTTATGACGTTGTGCTAAAGTTTTACTTCTGCATTAGATATCATTGAGAATAATTAAAATATTTGTTTTTATATTTTTACATCTTATTCCAGAGTAAACTGTTTGGGTCAGTCCATATGAAATCAGACACCCTCTTCCATTTTTTTCAAACTTTAAATATTAAAAGACCTATTTGAAACATTACATAATCAGTCATTTTTTTACTCTGTTTACCTCCGTGTGCGGAGCACTGAGGTCATGAAGTTTTGACCTCTGAAAACAAATAAGTTGCTCTTTTCAAATTACCATAACTTCTTTGCTATTTGAGATATCTATCTAATTTTAATGTCATTAAATATGTAATTGGGAAAAGTGTATGATTTCAAATGGACTGACCTGTTTGCCTATTATGCGAAATGTAAAGTTCACTGCTAAGAAAGAGAAGATCAAATTTATGCGACATAGTTGGTACGACTTGTGACTCATAGCTTTTCTAGTTTTGATTTCACGCTCTAAGTATGAGAAAAACGGATTCATCCGGTTTCATATTACATATTCACAACAGCTCTTCAATAAGAGGAGTTATGATTGAACACAAAGATTTCAATCTTTCATGCAATTTTATTTGATTTTGAGGTGACTTAAAGAGCATACGTACCATTTTAAAATGTGTGAAGCATCTAAGATTCTTGACAAAAAAAAATCTATGATTGTTAAAAACTAACCAAAAAACAATGACCATCATAGTCCGCTTTATTCTTTTATGGAATAAATCACAGACAGAGCTAGCATAATATTTTTTGTTGTGTATATGTTTTGTAAACGTTACACATATTTGAGATGATGGACATAGCTCCTCTTTTTATTTTGGATGGAACAATTTCTAGGATTGGCATTTGTTGGTTTACAGCACAAATTCTTAAAGGACGTGACTGTCATTAGAAAAGGCAATATTTCAGGCGGGCGACACAAAAAACTTTAATAGCATTGTTTTTAAATTCAATTTTTCCGATCTTAGACAAATTACAAGTCTTGCTTGTTATAAAGCTTTTAATGATAGAATTTTTTACCACTTTTATATTTTTTTCTTCGTTAGATAACACTTAAAGGGCACTGATAGTTAGAAGTACACTTTAAACAAAGCCCAAATAAAAACATGTTTAGATCTAGATTGTTTTGTTATTTGTTATTCTAAAAATGTGAAAATGCAGGAATGTTTTTGTATAAACTGTCTCATCTCAGCAATATCCATCAGTAAACGTCAAGAAAGAACAAAATATTTATCTCATACAAATTTTAATTTGATATGAGTGTAATATTTTTAATGTTTATATTTCTTTCGTTAACAAATTTTCTCAGTTCTCTTACTTTTTTTAATGTATCAAGTCACTAAATAATGGTTTTAAGCTTTTTAAGTATTTAAAGAGTAAAGTATTTCAAAAAAAAACAATTTCTATAAAAATTATCTAGTTTTCATCCAGAGCAATTATTTAAACTTAATACTTAAAGAAGTGCCAATAAGAGTTTTTCTGACAAGAGCCTGCCAATTTGAATCCGCCAATCTATAGATATTCTTACTATCTTCAGTTTACTTGAAAAATAAAAAAGTTTCATAAAATTCAAATTTTTATATGTCATAGAGCCATAACTGAAGTTGAAACATTCCATGATAAAAAATAAGACTTGGGGCTTATACATATTGTGTTTTTATTTTATGAAAACTTTTTTTTCTGTATTTTACCCTCCTGTTCAGGTTTCAAAATGTTTCAGAAACGTTTTTTTTTGTGTCTGTACTAACCTGTCTTGGGTTCGAGATAGTCATTGCTAGGATTTATACAATTTAATGAAAATTCCTTTTGTATTTCCCATCCTAAATTCTGAGTTCAAAATGGAAACCCTGATAGTATTATTTAGTATATTTAGTATTTTAGAATATAAAATACTCCTCTTTATCATACAAATGTATTTGATTCAAATTTTGCTGCTTGTTTGGTTGTTTTGTTCAAGTTGAACCGAATAGGTAAAAATATTTGTGTGGGATCTGGTTTGTCATTATGTGCTTTGTATCTTGTCAAAATCAAAAAATGTACAGTTTGAATGGGAAAATGGTAATTCGTATATTTCTAATTCTATCACAAAATATTTTGAGATATTTCTGTATTGACTATTGGAGGGAGATTATTATATTCATTTTATTTGTTGAAGCATAAACCCAGTTCTAGTTCTGAATAGCAGAAGAAACCCTATACAATAATCCTTGAATACACCAGATATATAGTTATATCAAGAATCAAGATAGAATAAGAATATTTGGGGAACAAGTGAGAAAAAAGAAAAATAAAGAGATTTAAAATTAGAATTTTTCCTAGAAAATAAGTGATTTTTCTGTTATAGGAACTGGTAAACTGGGATTCTCTTTTGTGAGAATAACTGCTCTCATGGTATCATGTACTAGGTAAATAATAATACAGGGATGTATAAAATTCTTCCCCCCCCCCCTTTGGGAGGGGGAAAAGAAATCAAAGACCCAAGAGGAGGGGAAGGGAAGGATAACAACAGAAGAAATGGATGGGTGGGAAAGGATTGGGGAAGGAGGAAAGGTAGAACTTCAGAGTAAACACCTAGCAATTAAAATTATTGGAAATGATTTTTAAAAAAATACTCCTGAGCTGACAAATAATCAATCAAAACTTCTTTGGCAATACCACCCTACCAAAAGTTATAAAAATTTCCCTGTGGCGCCATCTATGCAAAATGCATTCTTATGGGGTTTATTATACACTGCGTGGCGGTATAAATCTTAAAAAATGATGTCGTTTTAGTTCTCGAATTTGGGGATGGAAATAAAAAAAAGAGGGGGGGGGAGAATAAAAAATTGAAATTATATACACCCCTGCTGAATAATAATTATTTACAACTACTTTACAAAAAGGCTGTAAAACCATTATTAAGTTTTTTTTGGAAATCAATGGACAACTCCATGAGTGGACAGAATTAAACAAATGGGTAATGACTTGCTTTTAAATTGTAAACAAGTTTACACTAGACATGAAATACTGATTGTCATAATGTAATGAACTTATTTGTGGTAGGCTGTGGTTAGGAACTGGGAACGGAGTGATTATTAGTGTACCACTATCAAGTCCAGATCTTGGCCGGTCAACATCTGGTAATCTCATTGCTGATGTAATTGAGAAGAGTAAACCTGGAGCACCAGTCAGAGTATATGCTGATACTAAGGTACCTTTAACCTTGCAGCCATTTTATATCTATTAATGTGGTTGTAATCAGTTGATATTACAATAACACTATAGGAGCGTGTTACCCCTGGAAGTTTTATTCCCTACTGTTCTATGGCTCTTGCTCAGCTCTCCTTTCATGGACATCGGGATTCTGTCAAGTTTTTTGTCTCAGTTCCAGGTAATAGATTAGGGAAATAAAATAAAATATTAGAATTAAAGAAAAAGTAAATTTTTTTTTGATTTGATTATTAGTCAAAATAACTGCCAATTTTTGTCAAAATTAGGAGATTTGGTAGTAGATTAAACCTTTATAATTTTGTTAATATTTACCACCTACATTCTGAGTTTTGTATCAGCATAATTTAGTTGATTTGGATACAGTTTTTTTTGTCAAGAAAAGGCATTTATATTGAAGGTGTTTTTGAATTAATCTTATAATGCAATTTTGAACATACATGTTCTCAAAGCTTAACAAAAAATAGCAATTGATACAAAAATAAAAAGATTTTTTGATCCTTTACCCTAGAAGTAATTGTTTTTGGCTGAATGATGTGCAAACATAAAGAATTATTGTATTTACTTCCATAATCATATTGCTTTCCTTATCAATAGTAATGTAAATAAAGGAAAAAAGAATATTCCAAACTAATAAATATTCATTGAATGATTAACTTTGTCGGGAAATTTTCAGTAAAATATAGAAAACAACAGAATCTGTTTATAAACAAATAGGGTTCAATGTTTAAATTTTGCACAAAATGTGCGGCATACTTTTGAGACCTTTTTAATACAGGGTAACCCTATACTTAATAAATTGCCTGGTTATATGAATCATCAAGTTTTGTGATAGTCCTACATTTTTCTGAATCTGGAAGGAATAGAGTCTGATTATCTAATTAAACTATGAATTCTGATAGATAAAAGATTCTAAGTTTGAAATATTAAAATTTTACACCAATAAGTTGCAAAGATAAATGAATTAGAATATTTTAGTTTGTGGAAAAGACTTAATTCCTTTAGAATATATGTATTAGGAATGCTTCTTCCAAAATAGGTGTTTAGAGAAATCAAACCAAATGCCAACTTTCTAAGTGTTCATTAAAACATGAATAATAATATAACAGCCAAGTCACAATCCCAATATTTGTATAGATTGTATCTCTATATCTGGCTAATATACAATAAAGAAAATGAGGTCTGTGTGGTAAAAACCTGGAACAGGGGTATACATTTGCTTGAAAATTTCTTTGGTATAAAGATTAGGTCTGTGTTTGTATAAACCTGGAAGCTGTTGTAGTTGGAATAAGTCCAAGTATAAAAAGAATATTGGATTAATCAGATACTTTTGACAGAATGTAAATAGATATTAATATAGAATAATAGTGCATTGTTTTGCTTGACAAAGATCTTCATTAAGTGTTCTTTGTTCTTAATTTTACCTTGTAAGAAGACAAGGGGGAATTATGAAAGCCTAGAAATGTTTACTCCAAGAAGTCTTAAACATTATATTACATTATGTTCAAAAATTAATAAAAACCACTAAAGGAACTCTCAAATACTTGTAACGGTTTCCAAAGAATTCTGATATAACTTTGAACTTGTATACTATCCAGACTTTTGTTTTGATTATAGAAGGGTAAATTTTCTTAAAGTTGTTAAGTATGTTAGACTCTCAACTAAAATCTTCAAGGGAATATGCAGGATTTCAAATTTATTTTTGCAGAATAGTTTGTATGAAGAGATCTAGGGAAATGTCTTATTTCTTAATCCTAGAGAAACTAGCAAACCCTGTTTGCACATACTCTATTTTCTTGAATAAAGAGATAAATGTATTTCAGCTGCAATTCTCTCATGAAACTCAATACTGAGTTGTAACATATGATTCTTTTCTCAGATCAGTTGCAATATATTGTAAAAGTATTCTTTGAGATAATATGTGTTAAAGTATATAAAATTTACTTTAGTTTTTTAGAAATAAAACATCACAAGGGTTTTATATTTCTGAAATTTAGGGAAAATTAAGAAATTGTATTTTAATTTGCAATTTCAGATTTCAAGAAAAAGTAAAATATTTGGGCCACCTTGCACTAATGGTTTACTTTAAGATTGTTCAGCTCAACTTGTTATCTTCAGACTGACAAAAAGCTTCTGTAACAAAATATAAGTTTATTAGATTCAAAACTTTGTAGATATCTCTTCCTTTGAAGAAAAGTTCCAGAATTAAATTCATGGAGTCGCACATTCGGCAAATTTAAACAGCTACTTTTGCAGTGTGAAACCTTTCAGAAAATGCAATATTTGTTTGGGCATCAGTTATTGAAAATATTTAGCCCTGTCCTTTCAGTCAGAGTTACTATTTCTAAAGATATGTACTTACACATGATATGTAAAGTCCTGAGAAATGAATAGTGAATACCTATCCTTATATTCTCCAGACTAGAATAATCTGCCCATCATTAACTCTTTCATTAGACTTGGGTTTCATCAGCCTGGATTATATTTCCATAAATTATCTCAGATACAGTATATAAACCCCTGCTGAATAATTTAGTTGGGGAAGAGGTGCTATTAGCTTTGGATAAAAGTAGTGGATTATTCATGCTTCACCATCCCTTTAAATCATACTTTTCATGCACTATAGAGAGCTTAGGATCATATTATTCTTCCTATAGAACTACTGGTTTCTGTGGGGTTATTATATGAACAAACAGATCTCATCTTCCATGATTTTCATTTTCATTAGTTTCTGGTACATGGCTACACAAATAACAATTAATGTTAAAAGAAAAAGTAAATGTAGCAAAATTTAACAATTAAAATTCAATGAAAAAGTAAATGTAATAAATTTTGTGCAATTAAATTGATCCAGTACGTTAAGCTTCTGAAATACCTGATGCACCAACTTGAAACTTATCTGAATAGTTTTTATTAAGTAGAAAAGATAAATGTTGCACCAGTCTTTGCAGTGGAATTAAAGCTTCTAGGCAATAAACTTAAAATAGAGGAAATAACTTTCAGACATTGATTAAGTTTACTTCCAAGGTTCCTGACACCTTGTATAAGTTAGTTAGGACTACGGCTTCCTTCTCTTTTTAATCTTGTTAAACTTGGAGGGCTAGAAATTTGCTTTAGATCAATTATTAAGATTTTGAAAAGGAAGTACGCTAATGTGTCACTTTCTTCAGAGTTTATAGTCCTTGCTATTGTTGTTATGTCTTGCTTTTGATACTTCATCTCAGAGGCAAGTTTACATAAGAAAATGATGAAGACATTGATACTACCAGATTTTATGAAGGAAGCTTAGTAATTTAAAGTTAAGTCTACTTGGTTACTCTACTTCTTTCTTACTGTCATTTCTTTTGTCTTTCAAATTCTGGTAGCATTAATTTTTTATGTAAGTTCCAGAATGAACTGAAAGAAATCCTGTCAATTTCTCATGAGAAAGAAAAACGTTTCCTGAAAGTTGTTAGAGAGGTGAAAGTCTAGAACTCATTATTACACCCTGATTTATTTCTAACAAAAAGTTTATCCCCCGGAGATCCTCTAATCTACTAGTTTTGCACTCACTCACTAGGAGCAAAGAAAGAAGGAAATCCAAAATTGTTACAAAATCATTCATAGGAACCTGTTATGGATTTGGTTTAGGAGGTACACTTCAGTTCCCAAATAATATGAAAAATAGCTGAAGCCATATTTGTTTATCTTACAAAAGTACATAAAAATAAACAATAATCATTTAACTTCTACATACTAAAGTAACAAATATCTGAGTCAAATGACATGAAGGGGCTCAGTAACATCTTGCCATATAACATTTCGCCATATAACAACTCGCCTTAGTAACATTTCGCCATATAACAACTTGCCTAAGTAACATTTCGCCATTAGTAACATTTCGCCATATAACAACTTGCCTAAGTAACATTTCGCCATATAACACCTTGCCATATAACATTTCGACATATAACATCAACTCGCCTATATAACAGCTTGCCATATAAAAACAAAAAACAAAATAATAAATTTTATTTAGTAGAAAGTAATAGTTGATTTGTAGTTTACTAGAAACTAGAAATATATATGTAATTATATAAAATTATGAAACATTGTTGAGCTATATTGATGAATATATGGATGCATGTAAAAGTACATTTAAATTTAGTTTAGGAGAAGTTGTTTATGTCAACCAAAGATGGTTTCCCCCGCTGAGTTGTAGATGCGTGTAGTACTCTCGACATTGGAATTACTGTGTTTGCGGGGTTTTGTTTTTTGATTCGTGGATTTTATGGTATAATTTCATTTACCATTACAATTATTTAATTTTAATATTTATAAGCAGGCCAGTTGTTGTTTTAAGACGAAATGTTAGTTAGGCAAGTTGTTATATAGCGAGTTGTTATATGGCGTAATGTTATATGGCGAAATGTTTTATGGCAAGATGTTACTGAGCTTTTGAAGGGAGTGTAGACGTAATAATTAGTAACCCTGCTGTACTTTAAAGCTTTGTTTGATTGAGAATGATTGAAATATTCAAATTTTTCTCTTTGAAAATTAAATATTGTGGTTTATATATTCAAGTGACTTGCAGATTAAAATATTTTCCACGTTGATTAGACAATTTATGGGGTAGGGTGGCTAGGGTGTAACACCAGTTCTCGTTAGATCACTGAAGTTAAGCACACTTGTCCACAGCCAGTAACTGGATTGGTGTCCAGACTGGTGTTCACGGGTACGATTCTCGTACTCCACACATAGATTAGACAAAGCTTGAGAGGATTGTTATGAATTGGGAATTTGTCCTCTTTAAATGAAATTACCACCACAATCCCTTTAAACAATTCTATTGTATACACTTGCCAAGAAATAAGAATTAAATCCAAGCTCTCAGGGGGTCCTTAGAGTAGGGGATAGATTAGTTTAGTACCTACCCATTAATAAGTGATAATTAAGATATATGTTTAATTATTTAATTATCAATTAGGGCTAATTAGGATATGAATACATGAAAAAGAATATCAAACTCTGAGGAACTCTGAATTGTTGAATTGAATGATTTAGAGCACTAAACTTCCAACTTTCTTTCCTGTGATTTGCTGGTATCTTAAGTTATCAATTCTTTGATTCACTAATGCTAGAATATCTGTATTTTATGGGCAAAGGAATTGAGTTTTTGCCACAAACTCAAATTTTTAATCTTTATCTTTGCCATCTGATGGTGTAAACTTTTGATATTTTATACTTAGGCTATTTGATCTAGCAGATTTCAAAATTTTAAGTATTTAAGGTCTACAACATCGGGTTGCAAAGTTATAAGGATCACAAAATGAGAGTTAGTGACGAAAACTCATTTCCTTTATAAGAATACGATAATAGTTATATCCACTAAAAAAACATATCCTTGAATTGGGACAGAGAAAAATTTGTAAGCTAAGCGGATTTAAAGCTCATTAGAAACAAAAGTTCTCCTGCTGTTATGATTATTTCTGCAGTAAAATATATGATTTTATTTGATTTGATTTGATTTGAAAATAAATTTATATTCTTTCCTCATCATAGTCAAACAAATTTAAGTTATAGAAATTATGGATTTAGCACACATATTCATTTAATATTAACCATAGACTAATCTACTTCAAACTGCCAAGAGAAGTTTAGATCGGTAGAAAGTTTTCTGGCATTAGCTTGAGCAGAACTGGTTTCAAGTTCATAAAACTAGGAGTATCCATATTGCTTTGGAGCACTAAAAAATCCTTTGTGCAATGTCAAGTTGATTTAATACATATTCTTATCAATTGACGTTTAAATTCTGGATTGTGTTGTTGAAAATCAGAACCAAATAACACATGTAATGATGTCATTTCATGTTCGGCTTTTTTTGGATGAACGTATGGGACAGCACAAAAAAATAGGGAGCAATCATTTTTTTGAGATTTAGATATTTTCAAACCTCACTTAAGTTTTGGGTCGGTTTTAATGAATTGCGAAAAGTTGTTGAACTGTATAGAGACAGTTCAACCATGTAGATGTTTAAGGGCTAGTTCAAATTAAAATTTTGAACTTTCCTGGTAAATAAGAGCCAAGTTCTTTTTTCAACCAATAGCATGCTGATTACTTTATTTCCGGCACGCTGATTGGTTGGAATTCTCGGCAAATTGTATGGCTTCAAATTAGGAATGTTCAAAATCTTAAAATTTGATTCAGTGATAAAGGATTTGAGCCAGCTGGCACATGAGAAATAGTTAAACCAGCAAAAAGTAATTTAGCGACCTCTCTCAATATAGTGGATTCGCTCCTGGCTTATTTACACCTACATCTTACATACTCCAAGTATGAAACTCAGTTCAAACTATGCTCAATGCCAGTGGTTTAAATTATAAATGGAGAAGAAAGTTGAACAATTTAGGAATAGAGAAGGAAGAATAGACTGAAGTTGAAAGTAAGGATTAGATACTGATTACTGTCATAGCTTAAATGATTTAAACTTAAAGTCATCATAGACACAAATGTTAAAAGTCACAAAAAGTGGAGTTAAACAAAAGTATCGAGAAAGTTGATTTTACTAAATATTTTAGATATTTATATTGACTTATATTGAAGATTTCTTTAAATCCATGGGTTTTGTAATAGAGACATTTTCAAATGCACAAAATTTATGTGAACTAAAGTAAATATATGCAATTTAAAGATAGATTTGGTTTAGAAAAGTTGATTCAATAGAAAATCTGTGCTTAAATTTGAAATAAAGTTTGAAACTTTGTTTAATTTAGCTTCGAGTTCTGATGAAAACAAAATTAATTTCTGTTCATATGATGAATGTAAAATTCTTTAAATTTTATTTAATTTTTTCTCAAATAAGTGTTTTCAATTCTGATTTTTAAATGAAAATTTTGACAAAATCAAATGCAGTAAAATATATGATACCATGGGGTAAAAGCTTTCCAGGGAGGGTGTAAGCAATTTTTTATATATTTTGTACTTACAATGAAAAAACCTTTTCATATTAAATTAGAAATTCACTTATTTTTTCAAAAAATAAAACACGTATACTTCAATCTACCAAATTTTTCTGAGTTTTCAATAGATCATTTTGTTGTAGTGGCTTAGAAATATTGCAATGTTGATCATTTTTTTATTCATTTTTAGGACATGGTGGTCTGTCAGTATCTGGTGGAGAGGGGGAGAAGATTGATTCAATGCTGGTGATGTCAGGGGGAGAAGGTTACATTGATTTCAGACTTGGTAAGCAATAATATGATTTTATCTTAACTTTTCATGGTGATCACATATAGTATTGACATTTTTAAATAGTACAAATGTTTAATTTTGCCTTATGACTAAAATTTGTCCTATGATCTTGAATTTTCAAAATTTTTGCTATGGCCTTGAATTACCAAAATTTGTCCTATGTGCTTGAATAACACAAATTTGTCCTATGGTCTCTTTGGCCTTGAAAAATCAAAATGTATCCCATGGCCAACCTTAAATTACCTGCCTTTGTAACCTTGAATTACCAAAATTTGTCATATAGCCTTGAATAACCAAAATTTGGCCTATGGCCAGCCTTTAACTGCCTACATTTATATTTGTGACCTTTAATAACCAAAATTTGGCCTACGGCCCAGCCTTTAATTATCTAAATTTCTCTTTGTGACCGTGAATAACCAAAATTTGGCCTATGGCCAGCCTTCAATTACCTTAATTTGTCTTTTTGACCTTAAATTATCAAAATTTGTCATTTGATTTTAAAAGTCCAGAAAAACAAAATGTATTTTTTGCCCTATGAAAGCTTAACTTTAGTATTTATGTTATACAAACACATCTCTTCTTCCTTTTATTCTCAGGATAAATAGGCTCGTACCTTGAGTCAACTTTCTTTAAAAACATATTTCAAATTACGGAGAATAAGGCTTAAAATATTATGCAGAATTGTTCTTTTCTGATTTTTATTTAAACTATTCACATCTCATTCATTTCTGATGTTGTGTCACCTTGATTTTAAAATCATATTTCAAATTACGGAGAAAGAAGTTTGGAATATTATGTATATTTGTTCTTCATAGTTTTATTTTACACTATTCCGCCCTCTAACTTTTTCACATTTCATCCATTTCTAATGTTGCATTGGAATCTGAAATATTAATAAGGTTTCTTAATCTTCGACCAAATATTTTGCAAGCAAGGACCTTAGGTTTTAGGACTGAATAGAGTTTTAGGAATATTCAATATCTTGTGTGAAGCTTAACGCATTTCTAAAAAAAATATAAAAATTCTAGAATAGAGGTTGTTACTTTAAACTTTTAATTGTATTTTATAGCAACAATGTAATGAAATGTTTTTTTTTCTGAAAAGAACCAATCTATTCAATGCTTTTCAGAGTTTTAAGTTTTTATCTACATTAGTTTTTTCCTTTTAACATAATCCAGAATGCTGTTGAATTTAGATCAAAATTGATAAGTAAGTACAAAATTCTATCTTTTAATTTGTTATTTAAGGATATTTGTTTGATTTAGGGGAAAAAAGTATTTTCAATATTATTTACGAAAGGGACCTGGTCTTTACCTTTTTTTTGTAAATTCTTTGTTGTAAACTCACAAGTGCAAACTCTCTAGTGTAAACTCTTTAGTTTAAACTCTCCAGTTTAAACTCTAGTGTAAACTCTCTTGTGTAAACTCTCTAGTGTAAACTCTCTAGTGTAAACTCTCCAGTTTAAACTCTCTAGTATAAACTCTCTAGTGTAAACTCTCTAGTGTAAACTCTCCAGTAAACGAGCAAACTTTCTAGTGTAAACATTATTGCAAACCTACTAGTGTAAACTCTCTAGTGTAAACTCTCTAATTTCAACTCTCCAGTGTAAACTCTCTAGTGTAAACTCTAGTACAAACTCTTTAGTGTAAACTCTAGTACAAACTCTAGTGTAAACTCTCTAGTGTAAACTCTCTAATTTCAACACTCCAGTGTAAACTCACTAGTGTAAACTCTAGTACAAACTCTTTAGTGTAAACTCTAGTACAAACTCTATAGTGTAAACTCTCTAGTGTAAACTCTCTAATGATAGCTCTCTTTTGCAAACTCTTAAATGTAAACTCTCTAGGGTAAATTTTCTAGTGTAAACTCTCCAGTGTAAACTCTCTAGTGTAAACTCTCTAGTGTAAACTTTCTAGTGTAAACTCTCTAGTGTAAATTCTCTAGTGGAAACTCAGTGTAAACTCTCTATTGCAAACTCACTAGTGTAAACTTTTAGTGTACTCTAGTGAAAACTCTGCAGTGTAAACTCTGCAGTGTAAACTCTCCAGTGTAAACTCTCCAGTGTAAACTCTCCAGTGGAAACTCTCCAGTGGAAACTCTCTAGTGTAAACTCTCTAGTGTAAACTCTCCAGTATAAACTCTCTAGTGTAAACTCTCCAGTGTAAACTTTCTAGTGTAAACTATCCAGTGTAAATTCTCTAGTGTAAACTATCCAGTGTAAACTCTCCAGTGTAAGCTCTCCAGTGTAAACACTCTAGTGTAAACTCTATTGCAAACTCACTAGTGTAAAATATCCACTGTAAACTCTCTAGTGTAAATTATCCAGTGTAAACTCTCTATTGTAAACTATCCAATGTTAACTCTCTAGAGTAAACTCTCTAGTGTAAACTCTCTAGTGTAAACTCTCTACTGTAAACTATTATTTAGTTGAAGATGGAACAGAACATGATTTTGATTCTCATATCATGGTCTGGCATCTAGAGGGAGGAGAATCAAGTATAGCACCAGGATCTCCAGTCCATCCCTCCCCTCTCACATCAATGTCATCGTGTTCGGTATCTATGAGAGGTGTGTCCCTGGGATCAAGTTCTATTGATCTGGGTCCAACTCCGGGGTCAGGGATGGGATTAGACTCAAGGTCTCAGTCCTATCTTGAATCAGATAGTGAAACTGAGACAGTGAATCAGGGGAAGAGATCTGTGATCTCCCATGAGGACCCGGAGATAGAAACAGGAACAGATCCTTTACAGTGGAGCAGAGAAGTTGAGAGTATGATCAACAATCCTCCTCTTCAGACCTTCCAGAGCTTTAATCTCCAGGCAGATCCGTCCCTTTCCAGTTGGGTTCTTCCTCAAGACCGTTATCCGGAGGATCTTTCGCAGAAGCATTATCAAAACACTCACTGGGAGGAACATAATCAGGAAATTCATCCAGAAGAACCTTATCAAGAGCAACCTTTCTCTATTCTTCAATCCCAACCCTCCCTTCCCATCCATCAAAGTGTCAGGCGCGAAAGTAAGGAACGACAGAACGGACGAAGTACCGATTCTCCGGGTGGTGCTCAGGACACCAGCTCTAGATCTTCTCTTTACTCTGAACCCCTAGAAGATTTTACTCAGCAGCCATCCAAGATATAAAACCAGGTGGAGAGAATGAGAGAGAGAGATAGGATATTTAGCATTCTTCCAGAATACAGATTTAAACTTCTTGCAAGCTTTATTGCCCAGTTGGGACAAGTCTCAAGAATTCGGGATTTTTAAAGAAAAAATGGATTATCAAAAAAAACTCCAACCCGCATCCCGTGTTGAATTGTTTATAACTGCATTTAAATACAAACATTGCAAAGAAACAAATTTAAATTCTGCCTCAGTTTAATCTAACTTGAATTAGGAATTCAAAGATGCCTGTTAGAATAAAAAACAAGGAGATAAATAAATTATCTTTATACATTCCTCCCCCCCCCCCCTCCGTCTTTAATCTAGTTGATTTTCGTAACTTCTCCCTTTAACCTTTATCTTTTAACCCTCTGAATATGTGATCCTTTAACTTTGTTTCATGATGTGTTCAAGTGAAAAGATAAAGTTTGCAGAATTTTAAACTGTATTCTTGGTTGACTAATGTCTAATTTAACACCAGTGACGCTTATACAATATAGAAATATATTCTTCTTCTCAATATTCATGTTTTATGAATTTCACTGTCTGTTTGCTTTGAGTGTTAAACTAACATTAGTCAAATATTATTTCTAAACCAGATATTTGAAAACTATCCAAATCCTTCTGAGGCCGCAATTTAAAAGCTGAGTCTTGAGTCTCAATCCCTTAGTATCAACTGTAAAATTTAAAGTTAGGCCCGACTTGGCCATTTTATGGTTCTTATATTGGACTCAGCTACAGGGTTACCCACAAAGGACGAGACTTCAGAGACGACTGAACGAACATGTTTAGCTTTTAGTTGTTTCGTTTAAAGCTTCTAGCAGTATTAAACTTAATTAATTTAATGTAGAATACCGAGTTAAACTTTCAGATATTTATGTTCGTTGAGTATTCTTAGTGTTATGGTCGTCATCTCAATCTCATTGAACCTTATTTAAAGGGAGTGACCGGCTAGATGAACTGAATATGCAGTATGAATTTGCACTCAAACTCAGGATTTACAGATCTTTAAAAAGTTTAATATGTCTCAAATGAATCCGAAAGAAGTTTTCCACAACACTGCATACTCATATTCCCAGTTATTAATTTTCTTTAAAATGTTTCCTTTAAGGAATATTTTTAACTTTCAGAACAACAGAATGAAACCTAATCAAAGAATGCTTTTGCCTGTCTACTTTAACTTGCTACTTTTTAATGACATTTTTTATTCCTTTTGGAATTGGGAATCCCAAAGATATGCGAATCTTCCAAAGTGTGATGCAATTTCATTTTTTCTTATCCCAATTGGCTGGAATTATCAAGAAACTAAGCTTTAAGCTTGAATAAATATATTGGACTGTTATGTTATGCCCAAAAAAATATGCACGGCAACAAATCTAGCACACAAATAAAACTAATATTATTTTGCATGAAACTTAATTTTCCAGACACCTTAGACTGTACTGCTTGAGAATGCTTAAATTTACAGTGGGTTTCAAATAAAAGTTAGTTTTTGAAAATGTCGGTTTCCGACTTTCTGAAGTTCTTCCTTTGTTATGAAACACACTGTTATATCCTTCCTTTCCACTTTTCTTCTCTCTACCAAGCTATTCTATCTAATCTATTTGCTATCACAGATTTCACAGATTGGACAAAAATGTCGTTGTATTTAAGATAGTTTTGATGCTGTTTTAACCTTGAAGTCTTTTATGGTATTTTATCCTGAAAAATGTTACTGAATAAAATATTAAATGGACCTAATTTCAAATGACAGCCCAAATCACAGCAGTACCTTTGTATGAGAAGAGTTTATAAGGAATTTCTTATTTTTTATCTGAAATAACATATAAAAGTTACTTTTACTTTGCAACAAAGTCAATAAAGGAAATTGTAAGAATTTAGCACTTATTCAGATGGAAAAACGACATTATCTCTCTTAATATTGTTTAGTTACAGTTTTGAGGGAAACCGTTGTGAATCGGACATCCAAGTCTGTAAAGAGAGGGTTTCTTGAAATCTCGTGGATAGTCCCATTACAAGAAAAGTTATAGTACTAATTATAGATTCACATCCCCTCTTATATTTTGTGCTTAATCTATATAATAAAACAAGACTTCATATATATGTTTCGTATAGCCGGCCAAACGACTGGACCGGATGGTCTGAAATTTCTTGAGGGAACCCATGGGTATTCTGGGGGTAACATAGGCTAAACAAAATCTAAAAATTTTTCTCCAAAAATCGATTTTTGAAATTTTTTTAAAATTCTACGGGAAACGCCGGGCCCTTTAGCTAGTAATATAATAAAGTTAAACATAAAGATTTTACTGGACTGCACTTGAACTAATTCGGAAATAATGTGGGCAAATTCAAGCCTTTGTTCAGATAAGAAACAAACATCTTTTCTTAATATATCATATGCAATGATTCATCTTGAATTGACATTTTTCTTTATGTACAAAGGGCAATTAAGTTTATTTTTGCGCCCTGGGGCAAATTTTATATTTTTTTCCCTGTATTTTGTAAAAAAGAATCTGGAAACTTTAGAAAAGAATATTTTCGAAAATGAAATTATTGTCTTTTTTAACTAAACTCCACAAACACCTTTTTACAGATAACTGCGCAGGATGCTAACCTGATGTTGGTTAATTGCTTGTGTTTCCAGATTGATTAAATGTTTAATTGGTTGCTTGATTGATTGTTTGATTGATTGCTTAATTGATTGTATAGAAGGCAATGGACAATATGGTTTAGCAGGGTTTTACAGACTTAGTTCACAGAATATAAACAGTGGTTTATCTTACATATTTTGTATTAAGATAGCTCCTGAACTAGTGTTATTTGTGAATACACCAACATTAAGAAAAAGTAACATCTCAGGCCCTGCTGAGTTGCCATAATAAATAAAATGTAAACAGACCCTATCCCCCATTCTTCTTAGTTTATGTGGCTAAAAGAACTGAGTCTTTGTCACAAACTCTGAATTTCCAATCCCTATATCTTTGCAACCCAATGTCTTAAACCTTAGATATTTGAAACTATGAATTCTGTTAAATCACATGATCAAGTTGGAAATATCACAGGTTTTACTATCAGGTTGCAAAGAAATTTGAGTTTGTTTCGAAACTTTTTTTTTGTGATCATTTCCTTGAAACGGTTTGAGCTTAGTTTAAATTTATGGTCACACAGTAAGGTTGTTGTAAAAATAGATGGGCCGGGGAACAATAGCATGAATATCTTCTGTCTTAACCCTTTGGTGCGTTTAGCTACAAAATAGAATAAAAAGATCAATTTTATTTAACCTTTTAACGGCGCAGCGTACATTAAAGATGTTAACCGTCCCATTGATTGATCTTTAATGTTCAGGAGATACAGGGGAGCCTGGTGTAGAGGTAGATAATGTTGTTGAACCTGAACATGAAGCTAAAGGAGATAGAAGCCATCTAGTAGTCTGGCAAGTGGCTCTACCAAACTCAAAACTAAATCCTTCTCTTTTATTCTAATCCAGGATATTATTGGTTAACACCGCACTTTTCAGGGTTTTAACTTTCTCTGTAACTCCCCCCCTCCCCCCACTTTTATAGAAAATCCATTTACTACCCCTACATTCTGCTTGTAGATGTAGATGTATTCCCATTTATGTACATACGTTATTCATTCTGCGTACACAGTGTACTTTACAATTTGTTAACCCGTTGTAAGGTAAAAATGCAATCTTATTGTGATAAGTTAGTATGTTCCAAGAACTTTTTTTGCGGAATTTAAGATCATAAATTTGAAGAAAAAAAATTTAAATAGATACTGCAGAAAACGTTCATTTTTATACTTTGAATTTTTTTTTAAAAATCAATATGAAAATTGTGGAATACCAGGGGTCCTTATAATTCCTTTTTCAATCCCATTTGGGATTGACAAATTTGAAAGAAAAGGGGGCAAATTTTTTAAATAGGGGCAAATTTTTTAAAATGATAATTAAAAAAAATTGGGGTCATTTTTTATTTAATAAGGGTCATTTTTTTCAATTGGGGGCAATTTTTTCCCCAATTTCGGGAAATTGGGGGCAAATGTGTTAGTGGAATTTGAAATTTTATTTTAATTGGGGGCATTTTTTTTAAATTGGGGGCAAATGGGGGAAAATGTGTTAGTGGAATTTAAAATGTTTTTTTAAATTTGGGGCATTTTTTTTATTCTTGGCATTTTTTTNGGGGGGCTTTTTTTTAATTGGGGGCAATGGGGGCAAATGTGTTAGTGGAATTTAAAATGTTTTTTTTAATTGGGGGCATTTTTATTTTAATTAGGGGGATCTTTTCAAATTGGGGGCTATGGGGGCAAATGTGTTAGTGGAATTTGAAAATGTTTTTTTAATTGGGGGCAAAAAATTATTTTGGGATCGAGAAAATCAGCTATTTTGGGAATTATATGGACCCCTGTGAAATACTAGTATAAAATAAAGCTTTAATGAATAGAATAAGAACAGAAACTGGAAATCAAATGTTTAACCCACTAATTTATCAAAATTATTGTAAACAATAAAATGTTGAAGTTGCATTTTATTTTGAAATAAATTTTAGAATTTTTGTGATTTGAATATTTATCATTAGTATCATTTAATTATTTATTGTACATGTATCTAACTAGTTAATTATATAAACTTATTTAATAAATTTTTAATAATATTATAGATTTTTTCCCGAAAATAAACAACTTTTGAACTCCATAATTGATTATTACAACCATAGATTAATTAAAATAATGGATAGGACACTAGATGTAGTCTTTTCAAGATTTAGGGGGTTTATCGTTAACAAAAACCCTGAGAGGCTGAGGCAGACGCTTATTCTGCTTAGAATTACAAGACATTGAGAGAGCCTGTTCTATGCCGACTGCGCCCAACTTCTTTGGGCTTCTGCTTCTGCCTTAGGGTTATTGTGAAAGTAAAACCCTAAATCTTTAAAAGATCTAGTATCCTATCTGTTATTTTAATTAATCCACCATAATAACGTTCAAATCTTAACAAATTGTCTTCTATGATATCATTTTTTTTCAAAATTATGATCGAAAATTTAAAATTTTAATTCCTTTAGTTTAAAAAGTTCGTGCTCAAATACTAAAACGATACTAAATTGACTTTTACACGTAAAAACTCTTTAAATAATAATTATAAAAATAATAAAGTTTATTGCGAAATTTCGGTTAAATGTATATATATTTACAATGTTGGAATATTTACAATATTTAGAATAGCAAGAGGACATAGCTAGCACAGCTGTTTGAATGCCATATCGTGAAAACTTACATGACGATGTGAGACCAACTAAGGGAGAAACCCAGATCAGGAGGGGGGGGGGGGATCAAAGACCAGGGGCTTAATATCAACATCCCATCTTGTAAAAATGAAAGATTAGAAGGAGTAGAGCTAGGACCTTTTTTTACATACTTCAATTATATGAATATAAGATATCTATTTTAGGATATTTTTGTGCAGATACTATGACAAAACCATTTTAAAGGAAAAGTGACAAACTGATTTTCTACTCCCTATATCTTAGTACCCTGATGTCGTATACCTTTGATGATCCAAACTAGGACTTCTGTGAATAGTGTCAAATAGTTCAAGTTTGAAATATCAAATGTCTACTTGATCAGAAAGAAAATAGGCAGAAATTTAGACTCTGTTACTTTTGAAATATATTGAGTAATAAAACTGACATCTTGAGAGAATCAGCTAGAAAATAGATGGGTTGTCACTTGTCACTCTGCCATTTTGCCATTTTTTATTACCATCTAGTCGCCACCATCTCTTTAATTCTGATCCTTATACCTTTGCAACCTGATGTAGTGGACCTTAAACTAGTATTTATGTATAATATTATAACCAAAAATTGAAATATAAAAGGTTTACACCTTTAGGTTGCAAAGAAAATTGGATTTGAGTTTGTGGCAAATGTTCAGTCACTTTCTAGCAATCTAAACTCAATTCCTATGTTCGTTTGAGACATTGAAATACAAATACTTTTGTTAGACCCATATCATTTATGCAATAATATGGAAATATGCTAAATTTATGGAAATCCATTCAATATTTCAAAAATCTTTTACGATCAAATAAATCTTTTTGTTAGGTTTCAGTCCAAACCGTGCAAGGTTTAATTCCAGAAAAAATTAGATTTTTTAAAGGAACTTAAATTTTAATCCCTCCGATCTTGACAACACAATGTCGTAGACTTCGGATATTTAAAATATTTTGTTTTGTTCAAATAGTCTTAAGTCTAAAAACACCATCAGGTTGGAAAGATATAGGGATTATAGATTTGAGTTTGCTGTAAGAACTCAGTTCCGTTTTAAAAACTGAAATATTAGAATCTGTCGGGAACTGCTAAAATTTTGAAAATATACCTTAATAACAAACAGAATTTGAAGGAATTAGTGAAAGCTACGCAATTTTATATTTGGTTCCGCTTTAAACCAAAAAAAGCAGCTTGTGGATTTTTGAAGCACTGGTTGGCGTGGTAAAAATCTCTAAATATTCCCACTATCTCCCCTAGGAGCATATGATAATGTATATCCTCGAAAAAATACAGAATATCTTATTTACATTAATTTATTTACTTAATGATGTGTAAACTAGTCATATATCTTTTTTACATTACACTTATTTACATTTATTCTTTAACGTTTCCTGGCCACATTGAGCAGGATGATTATTTCTATGATTACAAAGTGTGGTCTGCCCTAACTATGAGTTACTTAGCTTCCTGTTTTTATATTACTTTCTAGCTCCTGTTTACTTTTTTTCAAGTTTCTGTTTTCATCTCTTATAGTGTCTATTTCGTTATTTTCTTCTTGTTCCTGTTTCTTTATTTTTTTTTAGTTCCTGCTTTTTTGTTTCTTTCTAGTTACTGTTTCTATATTTTATCTCTAGCCTATGTTTCTCTATTTATTTTTCTAGTTCCTGTTTCTTCATTACTTTCTACTTCCTGTTTCTTTGTTTTTTTCTAGTTACTGTTCCTATATCCTTTCTAGTTCCTGTTTATATATTCCTTTCTAGTTCCTGTTTCTTATTCTTTTCTAGTTCCTGTTTCTTTTTTCCTTTCTTGTTCCTGTTTCTTCTTTTCTTTCTAGTTCCTGTTTATATATTCCTTTCTAGTTCCTGTTTCTTATTCTTTTCTAGTTCCTGTTTCTTTTTTCCTTTCTAGTTCCTGTTTCTTCTTTTCTTTCTAGTTCCTGTATTTTCATTTCTTCCTAGTTCCTAGTTTCTAGTTCTAGTTCCTGTTTCCATATTCCTTTTTAGTTACTGTTTCTATATTTCTTTTTAGTTCCTGTTTCTTCACTTCTTTCTAGTTTCTGTTTCTTTTCTCCTTGTTTTTTTAAGCTTCTGTTTCAATGTTTTTATCATAGTTTCTGTTTCTTTAATTCTTACTAGAAGATATCTGTTTCTATGTTTTATTTTAGCCCCTGTTATGAATTTTATTTCTAGTTCCTGTTTTTCTAACTCTTTCTAGATCCTGTTTTATTACTTCCTGTTTCATTAGATTCTGTGTATATATCTGGAATAGGCATAAAATTGTTTAAAACACTGATTTATGCTTCGTTATATACAATCAGAAAGTTCTGTTCTAATAAAGAATTATGCATGTTGTGGAGGAAAAATAAACATGTCATCGAAATAAGTTCAAATGTTTCATACAAAGCAAAAAATCAAGGTTGATGCTTTATTAATTGTTTTGCTTAGTTATGCAAAAAAGGAATAATGAAAAATTAAAAACATGATGTCACAATGTGAGGTCAAAATGAAAATAAGAATAAACCACAATCATGGTTTAATAGAATTAAATTAGCGTTTTTGAATCAAACTTTTCCTTAATACTCTTTCAGTCTCCGTGTGTGTGTGAGGTTTCAGTTTAGTCTGTAAACCGGAGACCGGTTCAACACTAGTCTTCCATAGATACCCGGAGTAACAGGACCAGTTTATCACTAGTCTTCCATAGATACCCGGAGTAATAAGACCGGTTTAACACCAGTTTTTTATAGATACCAAGAGTAATAGGACCAGTTTAACACTAGTATTTCATAGATACCCGTAGTAATAGGACCAGTTTAATGCTAGTCTTCCATAGATACCTGGAGTAAAAGAGCCGGTTTAATATTAGTCTTCCATAGATACCCGGAGTAACAGGACCAGTTTATCACTAGTCTTCCATAGATACCTGGAGTAATAGGACCAGTTTAATACTAGTCTTCCATAGATACCTGGAGTAATAGGACCAGTTGAATACTAGTCTTTTATAGATACTTGTAGTAATAGGACCGGTTTCATACTAGTCTTCCATAGATACCTGGAGTAATAGGACCAGTTTAATACTAGTCTTCCATGGATACCTGGAGTAATAGGACCGGTTTCATACTAGTCTTCCATAGATACCTGGAGTAATAGGACCAGTTTAATATTAGTCTTTTATAGATACCCGTGGTAATAGGACCAGTTTAACACTAGTCTTTTATAGATACCCGTAGTAATAGGACCAGTGTAATATTAGTCTTTTATAGATACCCGTAGTAATAGGACCAGTTTAATATTAGT